TTTTCTTACAATTACATGGGATTATTATTTCATTGGGTGGAATTTAAAAACAAGAATCTCAAAAACATAAAACAAAACACGTTTTAACGGGTTGTTGGATGCACTAGTGAGAAATCCCCCACACTGATCTTTGATTCTGACTCCTGTGGGCTATCTGCAAAAGAAATAGTACCATGCTGTTCACGGTTCAGACCATTGACCATTTCCTGAAGGACAGAATGCTACCTTTCCAAGGCATTGTTCCCAGATGGTACGATAAATGAATCTTTTCCAGAGTACCCAACCATTCTGTAAGACCAGCTGCTTGTGGGAAATGGTTTCTTCAGAGGGGCAGCAAATTTATGAGCATCGCCTCTGGAGCTTGTATCTTTGTAACCAAGATGTGGTGTGAGATATGATGACACAAAAAAGCATCAGTGAATCCACTGATAATGTTCTGGCAAGAAGTACAGGAGGCAAGAAAGGCAAGGTCTTACTTAGAATAAGAATCTTCCAATAGGAAGAAATGGTGCAGATTAAATATCCCTTCAATAGAATTCTTGAACCAGAGTGCTTTGAGCCATTTTTTTTCTTTTTCCCTTTAGAAATACTTCCATATAAATAATGAAACATTTTGAAGATGAAACCAGAGTCTAAACAGAAATTTCACTTACATTTTATTATACTGATTCTACATACTGCTGTTGTGTAACACTATTCCTGAAGAGATGTGAGCAAACCTATCAGCTAGGGATCTGATGGCAGACTAAAGTAAGGGTACCACCAAAAGACAAGCTGAAGGAGCTAATGAGCTTGATTGGGGTTAGTGACAGGAATATGGGGTGGGAGTTACTTATGCCAAGTTACTTATGACTCAAAGACAGCTGCCATCACCAAACCTAACCTCCTCATAGGTAACAGCTCACAAAAGCCAAAAGCCTGGAGCACACTGTGCATCCCACATGGAACTCGAGGGTGCCCAAGAAGTTGCAGTTTTCCTTCTAAGTATTCCAATTCTTCTGAGTCTCTTCCAGGCAGCTCAGCTGGCCTCTGCTCCTCCTAGACCATTTTATTTTGCTGGTCTCTGCTTCTTCCAGGCTGCTCAGCTAATCTCAGCCTCTTCTAGGCAGCTCAGCTTGTCTGCAAGTATCTCTCATCAGTCCCTACTGCCTTTATATGCTGGGGAAGAAGGAAGAAGGGACTTGGTTAATATGGTCAGATTCAGGGATTTCCTGAAGCATTTGTGGTGTTTACTTCCTGCGCTTAAGGAGCTTCCCTGAAGGATGAAGGGTTTCCTCTCCACTTAGGACATCCTCTTATTTCACTTCCTTCCTAACACCCTGTGTCCTAACAATCTTCCTTCCAAGACTGAAGGTTTCAATCTTCAAGAAAACTGTTATAAAACAGCAGCCTACCAGTACACAGTTGTGTGTGTGTGTGTGTATGTGTGTGTGTGTGTGTGTGTGCGTGTGTGTGTGTGTGTGCGTGTGTGTGTGTGTGTGTGTG